TTAAAATTTTCAAGAATTGCATATCACTGAGAAAAATGTGCTCTGCAACTGTATTTGTACCATTATTGTTCAAGCACTTGTTCAATCTCTACATCAGCACCCAAAAAGTTTAGCAACAAGCTTATGGTATTTTTCTCAAAAACCAACACATATAGCCTTCAAAACAGAACCTTTTAACAATGTACCCACAAAACAAGAACCACATTGGTGACAATTGTATTTAGCATGCTTGATGCGAATCATAAATAAATAACTCACACACCTCAATATTGATTACTATTCATGACAAGGGTCCGTAAAATAGTTACATCTCCACGTGTCCTTTTTCCAATCTACAGAAGTTTCTTACAAAACAAATGATATTATTAAATTCTACAACATCCCTCCTGGAGAACATCGTAAATATCTTTATTCTTTCCCCAGGAAGCATTAACTCACCTATTTATTTACTCAAAATAGATCTAGAGAAATTAAATAAACCTGGTGCTTATCTCCTAGCTTGATGACACCACTTTCAATCATCTCTCTGTATAAATCGTTACCCTCACGTGTACGTTCTCCTACGCTGGCAAAGACAGAGAAACCACCTGACAAAGGAAAATAAAAAAGCAATGAGATCTCAGAAGGCTGAGCACAATGAAGATTGATGAATGAAGCATCAGAAAAGAACATAACCATGGGCCTTTGCAACATTGTTGATCAGTTCCATAATAAGTACAGTCTTTCCAACACCAGCACCACCAAAAAGACCAATCTTCCCTCCTCTCTGGTAAGGTGCCAGAAGGTCGACAACCTGCCGGATGAAGAGAAAAAAGAATCAAAACCCAAATGAAGAAACTGAGTGGTCACGGGAGCAATGAGTAAGATGTTAGTACATGATGACAAGAATCCTCCAAAAGAACCAATGAGGTAGTACCTTGATACCAGTGACAAGAATTTGTTGTTCTGTAGCTTGCTCCACAAAGGCTGGAGCTTCATGATGGATGGGTAAAGCAACCATATAAGAAAATCCGATTTCTGACGATCCAACGCAACTTAGAAATGATTTCAGTTATTATAGTTATTATTCCTAATTTTTATCATATAAATTATTCAGATAAAACAATAACCAGTGTAACTCACACAATTTTTTCAGTGCGTGAATCACATAGTGTCGGCAACAGTCCAATCCACAAGGGGAGGGTAAAGAAGCAGAATAAAAATCGACGGTAAAACAACCCTCCCAGCAAAATGAGCATATCTTTGATGCTGAACAAAGGCAAATAATCAATGAACAACAAAGCATAAGACTTCAAACAATTCTTAATGCATAAGGATTGAGGTCAAACAATTCTTAATGCATAAGGATTGAGGGAACTTAAATCTAAAACTCACACTGAGGAGAAGATGTAATCTTGAGAGATGTACGACTAAACATCTCGGCTCAAAATTCGGAGAGAAATTTCTTCTGGCTCGAATAAATTCCTCGTCCTAGGGTTCACCATCCGGGTCTGTTCATTAATGAAAGGAGAACAAGGATTCAAACGTCGTCATCGAGATTCCCTCCATCGGAGGCCGATGAGCCACCGACGATGCCACCGTCATCAGTCCAAGCAGTCGACCGTCGCACCGTGGAGTTGCGTCGCCCACCGTTGCACCGGTCCTCACTCACGCTGTCGCCGGCTCGCCTCTCCAGTCTCCACTATTCTCCCCCTATCTGTCTGTCGTTGGCTCGTTCTCGACGACGATGAGGACTCCCAAATTTCGAACTGACATAAAAATGGTCGATCTATTTTTCCATGAATCGCTTCTGCTCCCGTCAAATCCGAAAAATTGCGTGTGCGGGAATTGAGGAGAAAGTAAATCTGTAGAGAATTGAGTCCCCAAAAAGCCAGCAGAATAGTAGCAACCGCCATTGTCAATTAAAATGCACGAGCGCACCTAAACGGTGCCGTTTTGCCCAAATGAAGGAAAAAAAAGTGAAAGCCACGTGTCGACCAAAGGAAGGGTCGAAATTGGACACGTGTCGTCACCACAATCACCTAAACTCGTTTGTATATATATAAGAGAGATATAAATATAAGAGATGTAGTGCGGATTATATATCTAGACAATAAATAAGTCTATGTAAGTGTAGTACATGTATATTATCATTTCCTAAAGAAGTCTATCCTCACTGAGTGATGTTACATAGCCATCCTCCATTACAACATGGTTTACAACCATGTGTAATGGAGGCATTGAAAAATATGCATTATTGCACATTTTTCAATGCCTCCATTACACATGATTGTAAACCAAGTTGTAATGGAAATTGGCTAAATAGCGTAATTCTTCCTCACATCCTCACATCTCTCTTATATATATACAAAGAAGTTAATGGCCTTCAAATGGTGACAAGTGTCCCATTTAGTGGTCCTCAAATGCTGACACGTGGTATGTTATGAGTGCCAATGCTTCAACCTAAGAATGCCTCTACTTTTGCCCAGTAATTACGAGTGATGCCACTATTTTCAGCTCTTTTGCATTGACCGACTTATTGCACTGTATGGTGACCTGCGCAAGTTTTGTCATTTGTCAAAAAGCAACCCGAAGAAAAAGGCTTTCGCACGTCTCAATTTCTTCCCCATTTTCTCTTCTCTCTTCATTCCCCAACCTCATTTCTCTCTCAGATAAAATCATGAATGTAGATCTAGCCACACCGCCCGCCGCCACCATGGCCAAGCACCACCGAAAGCGCCACAACCCGGCCACCAATTCCTACACACTTCCATCCTCATCCAACTACGCCTCCTCCTGCGATTTGGAGTTCATCATCTTCATGGCCCCCCCAAAAGTCCTCTTCCGCTGTCGCCGACCTTTGCCCCGCCGATGAGATCTTCTACAAGGGCTACCTCTCCCACTCCACCCGTCTCTCCATCGTTCGCGCACTACTCCCGCTCTAACCGCGCTTCTCCTTCGGCCTCCCCACATCCGTTGTCAACTACATCGACCTCAAGCACCTAGAAATTAAAATGAGAATTGAGAATTTGCAGTTGTTCATGATGTTGCATTCACAGACAAATAAAATATGATGTTTCTTTTTCCTGTATTCATTTTTTACATTTTCCGCATAATAGGATTATGGGTTTGTACAGTTTGGAGATGATGAAGATGGATGTCTTTCTGTCCTTTTTCTTTTTTCAGGGTTTGCTATTTATCGACATGGTTATCAGATATGTTCTAAAGGAACTTAATTTGTGATTTTTCTTTTTTGTTTTCTGAAATGATTTTCTGTTTTTTGTGTTATGAGCAGGTCGTTATGGTGGTGTGATCTCCTAATATTTCTTATATCAACATTTTCAGACAAAAAAAGCCCTTTCTGGGGTTATAATTATTTTCTTGACTGAAATTGTCGTGTAAAGAATGAAGATTCAACCTTTTTTGCTTATGTTGTTGTGCTGCTGTCTATAGCGAGGTTGCGGCTGGATGGAGCTGTACGGGGACCAACAGGAGGCGGATTGGGGGTCAGAAAACAGGCCTGGAAGTTTGTATTTCACATTTCAAGGTGATTTTAAGCAATACAGGTCTGGAAGTTTGTATTTCACATTTCAAGGTGATTTTAAGCAATTTACTCCTTTTGATGAGTTCAAATTCGCCGTTATTGTTTTGTGCAAGAATATAATGTTCTGGCGTGTTCCAGCAGTGATAAAAATTAATGTATTGCAAAAATGAAAGAAAATGGTCGATACAAAAAGAGGCGCTACGTTACTCATACCTTGAGGGCAATTCATTAACAATGTGTTAAAGCTCTTATTTTTGGAAATTGCCCAAATTCCTTGTATGTTTAGTATAAAGCAGACCAAGTAGGGAAGGTGTGATAATTCTCAAATCAATGTTGATCATCGATGTTGATTTCATATTGGAGTTTCATCATATAGTTCTTATGAGTAGAGATTTAATTATAACAAGTTTGATACAATAGAGTATTACTGTTATGGAATCTTTGCTAGACATTAATCATTATTAAATAACGTTTCAGGAAGTGAATGAAACTGTGTAAAAGTAGCTTACAAAACTTGCTTTAGTGAATAATGATAGCAAAATAACAGTATGATTGTCGATTTAGTGTATAGATGATTAGCTTTATGATGCTTTCCAGTAATTTTGGTT